AATTATTAGAATCATATTTTAAATCAATGTTTATTTTAATAAAACTAATTAATTATTACAACTAGAACTTAGACAAGTGAAATTTTTTTTTTCAATAATAAACTACATTATCTATTAAAAATAAAATTTAAATATCTTGGCGTCTATCTGTGTTAAAGACAGTCAACAAAATTTAAAATAACCATACAATTAAACTAAATTGCCTAATCATTAGAAAAAAAGAATTTATATATTTTTTTCTAAAATACTATTTTATGTATCACAAAGGTTATAAATAATTTAAATAGTTAATAACTTTTGTTAACTCATTTAGTAAAACTCATTCATCAAATCAGGAATAGATGATCTTTTAACATTCATTTAACAAATATTTTATAAATGAAAATAAAAAGAGTAATGGAAAAGCATATTTATTTCAATACCTTGGAAATCAACAGTTATACACTCTTATCAACATTACTACTACACTAACTCTGATGAATTTTTGTACTTTATTTTAAATTAGACATTATTATTACACTCTTTTAATTATTATACCGTTCAATAATTTTAATTTTTCTATAATTGGTAAGATAAGACTTTAAAAGTAATCACCATTGTTATTAGAGTAACAGTGGAAGTGAATTAAACACTCAACATCAACTGTCTGTTTTTAAATATCTGAAAACCAAAACCCATCAGAATACAACATCCTTTCAACAAACAAATATTAGAAATTACTGAAACTAACAGATTAAAATACTCATCAAATCTATCAAATAAACCATTAACTTTAATTATAAATGGTATTCTCACATTTAATTCTTTTGTTAATAATTCTGTTTATTATTTCACTAATTCTTCTTCATCAACACCATTAATAAATATTAATAATAATGGTAATAATAATATAATGATATTTGATGAAACAGTAAGATTAAATGGTCAATTATCAAATTGTATTGTTTTAACTGGTAAATCAAATGAAAAATTTAAATGTATTCAATGTAAAAAACGATATTATTTAAATTCAAATAAAGAATGTCAAGTTGGTTCACATTGTAATAAAATAAATAATCAAAGTCATTGTATTGAATGTGAAAAAGGATATTATTTAAATTCAAATAAAGAATGTCAACCATTACCAGATAATTGTATTGTAGTATATAAAACATATTGTTATCAATGTAAAGAAGGATATATTAAAGAAAAAGGAGAATGTAAAGAAATTGATAATAAATGTAATAAATCAGAAAGAAATTATTGTTTAAAATGTTCAAATGGATATAAAATAGAAAATAATCAATGTAATGGAGATAAAGAAGATCAATGTTATTATGAAGGAAATAAATGTGTATCATGTTCAAATGGATATACATTAAACAATAAAAAATGTTCAAATAAAGAAAATCAAAATGGAAAGAATGAAGAAATATATTGTGAAAATGGAAAATACATCAATAATAATAAATGTATAGAATGTTCAAAATCAGAAATATGTAAAACAAATGATATTGAAATAAAATGTAAATATGAAGAATATTTAGATAATAATAAATGTATAAATAAAACATGTGAAGAAGATATGATAAAAGATCAAAATGGAAAATGTAATAATAATATTTCATATTGTTTAAATAAATCATATGTTAATGGAAAATGTGTTGAATGTTTAAATACATATTCACCTAATTTGAAGGGAGAATGTATTAATACAACAATAGAATATTGTGAAGAACAAAATACATATGGATGTAAAAGATGTAAAGAAGGATATTATTTAACAAAAGACATGAAATGTTTAAAATGTGATGATAAATGTGAAACATGTTATGGAACATCTACATATTGTATGAGTTGTTCTAATGATAAATATTTAAGAAATGATAAAACATGTCAATCAAATGAAGAATTAAATGGAACATGTTTACAAATATTAGCAGATGGAAGTGGATGTGGAATATGTCATAAAGGATATTATAGAAATGGGAAAGGATGTTCAAAATGTGAAAAAGAATGTTTAACATGTAATCAAAAAGATAAATGTATAAAATGTGGAGAAGGATATTTTATGAGTTCAACAGGAATATGTAAATCAACAACAACAATTAAAGGATGTAAAGGAGAAATAGATAAAGAATATGGATGTAGAGAATGTTTAACAGGATATTATTTAATAAATAAAGAATGTTCAAAATGTGGAAATAAATGTATAACATGTTTAAATGAGAAAGAATGTAATAAATGTGAAGAAGAATATATAACAATAAATAAAGAATGTATTCATTATTCAAATATTAATAAATGTAAAGAAACAAAAAATAATAAATGTTCAAAATGTTCATTTTGGTATGGAAACAATGAAGAAGGAACAAAATGTAATAAAGAAATTGTATGGTGGATGATAATGATAATTATCATCATTATACTTATTATCATCATTATAATAATTATAATTATAATAATAATGATTAATTACATTATAAAACGCAAAGAAAAGAAAGAACAAGAGAAAACAACAACAATATTTAAAATTTCACAATCAAATATCAAATTCATATCACTTGGAGATGGAATAATAACAAATAAAAAAGAAATAGAAATAGGAGAAGGAGAAGAAATTGAAGTAAATAAAGAAATCAGAGAATTAATATGTATTGGAAATGAAAATAAAGAAAAAAAGAAAATACAAATAAGTAGAAAGAAGAAAATGAAAAATATTCAATTAGAACAAACCCAAATATCATTACAATTGAAGGAGGATATGCATGTGAATTTGAAATATTTATTACAATCAAATGTACTACTAAAATTAAAGAACAAATAATGATAATTAGTAAAACACTTAATAAAACACAAGAAGAAATAATTAAAAGTATTTCAATTAAAGGAGAAACACAAATATCAACACGACTTGATCCCGATGAAATTAAAGAAGAACATAAAATAGGAGAAGGATCATTTGGAATTGTATATATCGGAGAATTTAGAGGGAATCAAGTAGCAATTAAGAAAATGAAACAAATTGATAAAGATGAAAATAAAATGAAAGAATTTGAGAAAGAAGTAATGATGTTAGATAAATTTCGAAGTGAATATATCATTCATTTTTATGGAGCAGTATTTATTCCTAATAAAATATGTATGATAACAGAATATGCAAAATATGGATCAATACAAGATTTAATTAATAAAAGAACAAACACGGAAATACCAAATAAAATAAGAATTAAATTCATGATAGATGGAGCAAAAGGAATTTCATATCTTCATTCAAATGGAATACTACATCGAGATATTAAACCAGATAATTTTCTTGTTATAACACTTGATGATAATATTGGAGTTAATTGTAAATTAACAGATTTTGGAAGTTCAAGAAACATTAATATGATGATAACAAATATAACATTCACAAAAGGGGTAAGAACACCAAAATACATGGCACTACATGTCAATTCATTTTCAGTAGTAGTGTTAGAAAAATACTGAGTCGACAAAAAATTTCATTTAAAAATAAATATCTTTATTTCGTTTTATATAACACTAATATGACTATCAAAAGTGTTGAAAACTATTTATTTTCTAGTTTGTAATGAAAGCCTCACCACACCAACCATCAATAAGATTTTACTCATCGAAAGTCAATGGAGAATTGTTTTCTTCTGAGAAGAAACAGTTTGATGAAGAAACAATGAACAAACTCATCGAAAAATACTTAGAAGAACCAGGCAAACTTAGCCTTCTACAACTAACAAATATACTGTACTTTGTTTCTTCAAATTCTCTTATTTATAACACTGAAATGAAAGTTCAGCTACAAGACTCAAAGAATGAAATTCTCATTTACTTTCCAAAAACCTTTGGGTTTTGTATTTCCGCACAACCAAATTATACTGTTTTTGACTATTTCCACTTTTCTCTTATCAGAATTCCATTTAACTCTCTTTCATTTACACTGTCTTTCTCCTCATTTACTCACCAACACAACCTCTGTTTGTAGTTTTGTTTTATTAATTTCTGTTAGTACTCATTATCATAGTCCCACGAATAATGGAGATTTCACTTCCAAGGATAACTCAGTCTCAATGCCCAGTCTCAATTGACCTCCACATCTCTTTGGATGGAGTTGTTAATAAAGTGGACTGCTTCTCACCTTTTCTTTTCACAAAAAAGGAAAATTGGAATAGAACTCAATATTCTCTTTATCTGTCTAGTGATAAAAATGTATTTCAAGATCAAATCTCCTTTCAAATATTATATTCATCTGCTTATAGTTTTAGTGTTTGTTATGACGACGGGAATGTTCCCTTCTTACATCATGAAAACGTGATAAGTTCAGACTGTTCAGCACCAGTTACTCCACCTTCGTTTTATCATACAAATTCAGAACGTCTCTTAGTCCCAGAGGAATTAAGTCCTCGAGTTAATGACAAAAACAAATATTATTCTGGATATATAAGTGTATTTAAAGATGAAATCAAAAAAGAGGATAAAGGTTCTTGTCTTATCTTAATAGAACTTGAAAATAAAGAAAAAATCAAAGAAATTGTTGCAGTAATAAAAGATAAAATGAAAGGATGTGATTTAACTTTGATAATTAAACACGAAGAATATGATTTTGTGGTTGAGGGATATCATCCCCTTTTAGAACAAATGATACAAGATAATACAAAAGAAAATAATATTAAAAGAGCAGAAAGTATAACTCAAATTCGGGCAGCAAGAAAAAAAGAACCAAATACAAACGTTTTATATTTTACAGATAAACAGAGGCTGACAAAAGAATTTGCTGATTTAGTTTTAGAAGGTTGTAATCTTATTTACTTTCCAGACCCTTTATTAGACCAACAGAACTCTATGAATTATATCAACCTATTAGAGTGTGTTAACATTGAAATTATTCATAAGCCTATGTTACTGGAAACAATTCAACAAGTCTTAGAACAGGTTAGTTGGAAGAATTCAGTACCAGTTATTACTCGTAGTAGTCTTGTCTCGTTCATGCCAAGTAATATACTAACGCCATTTATTAGAAGGGTTATTTTCTTTTTGGCTCCAACAACAGAGATGAGAACAATTACTGTTTCTCACAATAAACATCTTTCTCACAGAAGTTCTATTCAAATTAATAACTCAATTTTGTATCTATTTTATCAACTCAAACACTGGTCTATTCAACCAACAAATCTTAATGCGAAAACTTTGATTAGAGAAAGTCTTATGAGTGAACGAATAACTAAAAGAGCATCAGATCCAGGACTTATTGCACCAGGAATAAGAGCTTTCATTCCCGAGGCATTAAAAGTTATAAAACATTCAGACCAAATAGTTACAAGAAACAAAAGTAATGATAGTTTAAGAAAAGTTGGAAGAGAGGAAAGAATGAAACGATTTCAGTGCATCATTCAAAAAACTTCTGAAGATGTTATTGGATTAGATGCAATTAGGAAAAGTGATATTGATGATAGAATTAGTTATAAATATTACTGTAAAATTAAAGACGAAAATAATTTTGTAGTACCTTCTGGATTTAAAAAAGAATTAAAGAAAATGAAAGATTTAAAAGAAATCAAAGAATTAATGAAAAAATATAATGAAAAAGAATGTATTGATGTTAAAATAGTTGACCATGTTATTGAAAATTATTTATTGAAACGAACACAAAAGGACATAAAAGAGTATAAAAGTAAAATTGACTTTTCTGCTTATTCTACTTCAGGAATGAAAACACGAATGGAAGATTATTACCTTTGTATTAAAAATATGAACAAAATGATTCAAAAAGAAAAGAAAGAATTAACATATTTTGGAGTTTTTGATGGACATGTTGGAACTTCAGCTGCTGATTACTGTAATTTTAAATTACATAATGAAATTATGAGAAGTAAATCATTTCCAAAAAATATAGAAAGTGCTATTCAAGATGGTATTGTCAATGTTGAAAATGGGTTTAAAGAAATTGCAATGAAAACAAAAGTTAATGCTGGAACAACATTAGCCATAGTGATGATCTATGATAATACCATCTATACTGCCAATGTTGGAGATTCAGAGATTGTTGTTTGTTATAACGATGGGTCGTATATTGTTACATCAGAAAAACATAACCCAAGTGTTGATAAAGAAAAGGCCAGAATAGAAAGTTCTGGTGGTAAAGTATTTTATAATCATGGTTGGAGAGTAGATGGTTTACTTGGTGTTTCAAGAAGTATTGGTGATGAATCAATGAAAAAATATGTTATTTGCCAACCAAAGATATGGAGTAAGGCAATTGACTCATCACTCCAATTTATAATCGTTGCGTGTGATGGGTTTTGGAATGTATTTAAATATGAAGATGCTATCAGTCTAGCAAGAAATTATTTATTCAATTATTGTTTTTCTAAAGAAGAGGATAAAGACTCAAATGGAATTATCCTTCCAAGAAATAAAGGAGACGTTGCACGATATCTTATTGATATAGCATTAAAAAGACATTCATTTGATAATATCACAGTAACAATTTGTTATTTTAATTAATTATTTCATTCAAAATAAAAACAACAATGTTAAGAAGAAATTTGATTAAATTTTAAGTATTTTTTTCCCTTTCAAAGAACTAATGAATCTTTGTGTTCTGTTTTATTAGTTAATTGCATATAAATAGCAATTGGTGCAATAAAAACAACAAGAACACATTGTGTAAATATTAGGTCATTTGTTGTAAAGCAGAGGATTAATATAGAAACAACAAATTGGGTTACAATAATGAAAATAGGGAATTGGAAAGTCTCCTTTTTAGTGAAAAGGAATAAAGCGAAAAAAGTAATAAAAATGTTCCATATAATAACAAAAATATATGTTGTTAATACATAAATATTAAATCCATATTTTAATATACTTGAAAGAGTTAATAATGGTAAAATAATAATAATTGAAAACAATACTAATCCACTACGTTTTCTTTCTTCTAATTTAATAAACTTTTCAACAATAATCAATTCCAAGAGAGGAACAAAAATGAGGACTGAAATTGACGATCCATTTAAGATAAAATAATGAAGGAAAACACCCATAATAACTGACCATGGACCACTAACAATTGTCATCATTGTGTTGTATGAATATTTCTTAATCATTTGTTTTTGAGATATATTATTAGCTATTAAAACAGCTACATGTAATGTGAAGTGTAAACTAAAAACTACACTTGCTATAGACCTTAACTGAATCAAGTTAAGAGTAATTACTACTGCACCAGCAAATGATAATGGAAGAGAAATACATAATATAGAATATAATGGTAACAACAATTTAATAGTTTTTTGATTTATAAAGATAGTTTCCATTGTAATAGCAATACCACAACATGACGGTATCAATAATAAGATAAAGAACCAAGAAGGTGCAATAGGTAAATAACCAAACATATAATGAGCAAATAAAAATGAGAGAGAAACAATAAATACTAATCTAGTAAGGAAGTTATGAGCAATACTGTAAGTATAATTAGTTGAAGTAAATATTAAAGTTCCTATAATAAAGAATATCAATAATTGATCAAGAGAAGAACTTGCACCAAGAGAGAGAAGAACACCAAGAGCACCTCCAAAGAATCCAGTAAATGGAATAACAAAGTAATTATTCTTTAAAACATAACACTCATGTGTAGCAAGAATACACATTAATAAAAATGTTTCCAATAATGTTTGGACATAAGTAGGAACTTCATTGAAATAAATAACATGAAGAGTTGAAATAAATGTTGCAGAAATAGTTAAAGAAGTTAACGCATTCCATATCTGGTTTACAATGAAATAAGTAGTGTCAATAACTACGTCAGGGTGATAAGATTGTCTAATAATGATAGTTGATAGATAAACAGCAATAGAAAAGATAGACAAATATCTTGGGAAAATAAACATTGATAATTTTGCTATTTGGAATGAAATTATTATAGCAAATGAAGTTAAATAAATCTTCTTTGTTTTATACATTAAATAACCAATTAAACAAAGCATTATACCTGTAAAAACACAATAAATATCATTATAAAAAACACCATTTCTTCTTGATGCAACAATATACTCAATTGTAGCTAATCCAAAAGAATAAATAGTTGTAAGAACACTAAATGTTGTTCTATTTGTTTTTACCATTAAATAAGGTAATAACAAAGTGAATGTTGCGTATATTGCATAAATAATAGTAAAGTCATGAAGGTTTATATTAAAAATTATAAATCTAGTAATATGGAAATAAATATGATAGAATGAAGTATAAAGATACATAAAGAGAACAACAACAGCAGAGCTAACAGAAATAAAAGTAATTATATCAAAATCAAATCTAATTCTAAATGCAATTAAGCCAATTCCTAATGATGTTATAATTAAAGTTATAGTATTTATTTTTGAAGATGATAATACTAAAAAGGTAAGTAATGATATTAATAAACATAAAACACTACACTCTATTATATTAGGTCGTTTTAGTGTTGTTAAAACAAAAATTACGGAAATAATTCCAACTAAAGTAAAATAGATCATATTATCTGATAATAACATTGTACAACTTGATACAAACATTGGTACTGAAGCTAAAGCTAAGAAATGTAAATGAGGAGTTAATATAAGAAGATACAATGACATTGGTAACATAATAATATATAGTTGACCTAATTCTAAAAAGGAAAATACAGATGCAATAAGAGTGATAATTGCTGAGAATGAAATTAATATTGGATCATCTCCATTTGGTGAAGTAATTAAATGAACAAAAACGAAAAGGAATGGAACGTAAAGTTCTAATGAAGGAATAAAATGAGTAATAGCATAACTTGTTACTGGAATAGAGATAAATCCTAAAGTAGAAGACATTATATTTAAAATAACTTCAATGTCTTTTTTATCAATAAAATTAAATTCTTTAATTAAATTAAAATTAAACATTATACATACAAGATATAACACAATGTAAATCATTAATGTAAAGAATATTAATAAAGTATTAATACTAATATCCATAGTACTAATAAAATTAACTATTAGTGATAAAAAGAAAAACCCTGTTAATACAATAAATGGTATTGATGCTTTAATAGACAATGCATTTTTGTTAATATTGTCATATATCATAATTCCACCAATGACTAATAATACAATGGTAGGTACACCACCATAAATGCAACTAATAAATGTAAGTAATAAAGCATGAACAGTCATTCTGTAATTAGATAATTTAAATAATGGTTTTGATTCTTTAGTATCAATTTGAATAACAGGTTGATCCATTAATTAAAATATTAAGTTCTTTCTTTTTTAAAATATTTTTTTATTTTAAAAAAGAAAAAAAATTAATAAAAGTAGTTACATATAATTTAATTTTAGTTAAAAATTAATAAAATAATAATTAAAATATAGTTAAATTATTATTTAAAAGTAATAACTATTTTATGCAAAATCTTTTCAACTTCAACTTTATATTCAGCCCATTGTCTTCTGTAATTTGCACCCAT